GCAAACTATTGCACTATAATCAACTTTGTGTATACACATTTTTGTAGTGTGAAAGACAACATTGTTATTGTTGCAAATTTGTTGTATTTTCTGCATATTGTATCGGCAATTTGTATGGAAAAGTGGAATAGAAAACAAACACTATAACTTAGTTTAAACACTGCTGAAAGTATCAGAAAAAGAGACAATAGGAAAGCAATATTTAAGGTAAAATCCTTAAAAAGATAAATAAAAATTAATATATAAATAAATAATGATAAAGATAAATAAATTTAACATTAAATTTAAATATTTTTGTGAAAAACCTATATTTATACATATCTAATATTATTAGAATAAAGCAGGAATCACTAAAAGAGTAATAAGGATAGATATTGAAGTTATCAGACTGTGATTTACCACTTTAATATGATTTCCTCTACTTCCCACTGAATACGCCACTACAGATCAGTATTTAATCTTGTAATGATATTTTGAACTGCATTTTATCTTCTCTTGTCCCTTGTTCTCTTCACCACTTTACAACTATGATCACTTTTACTGGTGTTATTATAACGTGCAAGTGCGTCTGTGCATAAGTATGAATGTAAGTATACATGAAGTCCCTTCTAACAAAAACTAATATTCTTATTGAAGTTATTATTTTTGTTATTGTTGCTGTTATATATGGCTGGATCTGCCCATAGTATTTATTTTATAAATTCAGAATTTGAAAAATAAAAACTAAATTAAAAAACTAATTTTTTTTAATTAATATTAACTTTTGTTAAAAGGAACCCTTTTTTTGAAAAACATTATGTTATTTTTATTATCATATTTATTTATATATATTTCATAATTTACATCTCGACAAATATTTCTAATTCTATGTTAATATTGACTGTATAGTGTATAGCAAAAAATAATCCAGTTAAAATTTGAATGATTACAATCCTAATCCTAATAATGATCTAAAATTTCATCGAGAAAAGATATTAATTGGAGTTTGGAGATCTACTAAAGAATTATTTATGACTTTGAAAAGTGGTTGTTTAATTCGTATAGGTTTATCCATTTATTTTATATATCGAATTGGTCCAAAAAATATATAAATATATTTACAATTGCAATTAAAATAATTGTGTACACTTATATACCAATATATATATATATATATATATATATATATATATATGTATAGAATTATATAAATGTATATAATTATATACACTTTCGTAAATAATGTTGAAAATTTTGTTATAATGTTACTAATTTAACAATAGTACATACTATATAAATAATAAAATTTTATTCGTGTTTTTCATATTTTTTTGATGTTTTTTAAGCTTACACCAAGTATAAATGTATCTAAAAAATTTACTAAATTTTTATTACTTAAACCAAAAATATATATTTATTATTATTTCATACCAAACTAATTTTTTTTCAATAGTTAACAGAAAACCTGTGTACAT